ATTCGTTATTGGATGTGATGCTTGATTTTAAGACGAATGCAGGCACGGAGTTAAATGTTATGCGTTACAGGGATTTTTTTATTTCAATATCCATCATCCCTTTTAGTATAGTATGTTTCAAGATAGTACTGATGAAAGAAACTGTCATCTTTCTGTAGACATCTTATCTCACCCGATACAAATCTTTTAACGCAAATCCAATTCAACATAACCTGAACAATGTTATCTTCAATATTCTTAAACTAAAGAGAAGAAAGAGAGAGGATGACCCTAGATTCGGGTATTTTATAAAGACGCCATCACCATCATCAACCCCAAAAACAAAACGTAGAGCGATACTCCTCCATCCCCGGCTAAATTTCATTCCATCTTTATCAAAACCTTGTCCCGTAATTCCAACAGTCTCTCATAAAAGATCTAAACGTGTTATCTATTTATCCGACTTATCAGTCGACGGTTCAGTTCTGGGGGTCTCCTGCACATCCTTCTTGGCTCGAATTGCCAGCTTCCCTTCACTAATCACAGCTTCATAACCCCTCTTCTCCAGAATCCCACCATCATGACTAACAACCTGCCTCGCCTCCAGCTCCTCAATCACTTTCTGATTTTCCCGGTTGCCCTCTAACAAAAATTTAAGGCATAGCACGGCATGTTCCTTGATGTACGGGTTATGCGCGTCGAAGTTCGTACAGGCCAAGATAGTTTCCAGACCACCGTGGTTGCGGATCTGGTTCTGTACCTCTGGGCATTGCCACACGAGCGATGAAAGAACGAGAACTACCAGTTTCTTCAGATTGCGCCACTCGAAATCGGATGGATCATCGTTGCCTATGGGAGGAGACTGTGCTCTGGATCCTGCGCTGACGGGGGCCGCATCAATAGGTTCCGGATCGCTCGGGTCATACGGTCGCTCAACTGCGACGGGAATGTTGCTTGCTCCTTGTGTTGTTGCTGACGAATCTTGCGGTGTCTGGGCAGCAATACGTGAAGCTGCAGCGGCAACAGAGTTCATAGAGCTCAGTGATCCTTTGGGTATACTTGCCTCCAACTCTTTGAGCAAGGTGGCTAAGTCATACACAATCTCCCACTGGACAAGGAGGTTTTTCCATCCAGTATTTTCAGTGAGGACAGCGAAAAATTCGAGGAATTGGTAGACACCTTCATACACGCGTTCCATATCCCAGAGGTTTAGTGGAAAGTCCTCGGGTCGTGCATGGCCGGCTCGAATTTGCCCTTGAAGATATATTAGAGCGCAGGTTTCCGGGATAATGTTCCCGCGGAAAATGGTAAAGATATATCGGACTGTCAATACATCGACCTTTGTGACAGGGACAGAACTTCTACCGGTGGGTGTTTCAGAAGTTGAAGCAATATTAGGAGGTGAATACTTGGAGCGAAAAATATGCGTGAGAATCTTGATAACAACGGCCTGGGCTGGGGAGATGATGTCCTTCGCCTGACCGAAATCAGAATAAGCATGGGACATTAGCCCATTCTCTAGGACAGCTTCCATGATCTGAACCATCATTTTGAAGTAAAATTCGTCATCTGGCAGGTCCCAGGCGGCAATGAAAATCAGCAACTCCCGAAGAAGGTTTCGGCCCGTCTCTTGCGCAAGGAGAATATGACACCGAACCGCCTGCATGTTTTTATTTCCTGATCTTTCTCCACCCTTCAGGCCGAAACTGTCGACAATACCTGCCTGAATAATCATAGGCAGAGCCTCGATCTCTGCAGGGCCCAGAACTAGAGGGATGTCTGTAAGTAACCCACGTTGCTGGTCTCCAGGTCGACCTCTGTAATCATCATCGTCATCCTCGTCATCTTCTTCCTCATCAACACTACCATCCACAACAGCCTCAACGCTGCGCGAACCGTCGTCTTGGGGTAAGCAATTACCGTCTATTGACTCATAATGTAGCTCCCCATTAGCCAGAATAGGCGATGTCTCTTGAAGCCTAGCCATCAATTCATCTTTCGCTTCCTGTAATGTCTCTGCTGCCGACTGAGGGGATCGGGTCATCACAGTGTCTTCCGGGGTGACGTGTGCATCCGCTGCAGCGATTGCGCCGTATTCCTCTAGATCTGGGAGGTCAGTCCAACACGTGCGTGGATAGCCCGTTGTCGCGGTTCGATCTATACTCAGAATCGCCTTTTTTCGGGTTGGAATTTGCTCGTCGAGGGCGCTTCCGCTTTCATAGTGTCGATCCTTGAAATCTGCCCAGCCATCCACTTTTGCTCCCAAAATTGCAGTAAGCGCAGCACGGAGTTCTGTTGCTCGTTCTGGGTCCTTACCCATTTGTTGTATTTCTTTCAGATTCCGCCCGAGGAGTTTCTCCATGTGATCTTTAATGTTGGCCAGCAATAGCATAGCCGCTTCCTCCTTCATAGACGCAGGCTCCCTGGGAAATGTCGAGATCGTCTCAAGTAACATATCCTCCGCAGTTTGGTCATATAAAGTGTGCAATGGAGGACTGATAATTCGTTCCCCAGCTCTTACGACTGGTGCAACTCCTTGTACATGGAAGTTACCGGTATCCAAAGGCTCCAGAGGCGTTATTACACTCGACTCGCCATTTTGATGATAGCCAAAAAGATCCAGCCAAAGGACAAGCTTCCGATGCTCGTTGTGCATGATAAAGTTATGAAGGAACTGGAGGCAGGTGATTAGAAGCCTTTTGTAGAGGTTAACGACTTTTTGCCATCTTTCTTCATTTCTGGCATTGCTCTCGCCATCGTAGCCCCTAGCCGTAACCCTGACGCACGTGTCAATCAGAAGTAAAATTCTTTGATCGAATCCCTTCTCAGCTGCGAGATTTTGCGCTTTCTTTGTTGTTGCGAGTAGATTGCGTGCAATGGTACAAAGATCGTTCAAGCGTTCAATATCCTTCACCAGGGAGAAATAGTTATATGCTATAAGGTTGGAGGACTCCTCACAGCTTCCGGGAGCCGTCAGGGATTGGGATTCAAGAACGGGTATGGCTTTGCTCAGAACGTCCGTGAGACCCTGCCATACGGCTGGTGAAAACCCTAGGTTTTGTCTATCCACAATTTAGTTTTCTAGATGGCGGGGATGAGCCCTTTTACAGCCATTGTGGAAGCCTACCAGGCTGGTGGATGAGGGGCAGAAGGAAAAGCCTCCCTTACCTTACTTCACTCTCCTGGTGGCTCTTATAAAGGATCTGTTTTCCAGCAAGTAGCATGTGTTCCAAGCGTTTGTCATCGATCATCCCCCGCGTTTCATAGTGTGTCAAAGTCCCTGCGAGAACAACCTTTAACAAGAGCTCTGCGGGTGTGCATTTTGGCCCGCCATGAGATGCAGGTCGTTCTGTTGACTCCTGACCTGGAGACGTAGACATCTTAGCAGGTCTATATATACTGTACAGTGGTAGCCTCGAGAGGAGGTTGAGAACAGCAACTGAAACCACTTAAGGCATATTAAGAGAAGCAGATGATGATGATGATGATGATGATGATGATGATGATGATGATGATGATGATGATGAAAAAAGTCAAATCAACCAAAAGGTTTGTGGTTCTTGGCAACCGGGGAGTTAAGTTGTTCCGATAAACTGGCCCTGTCCAACTAATGTATTATGTACACAGAGCGAAAAAGGATATCAGATATCAAACGAGAGTTTATTCAGGATATAGAAATTTCATTTATAGATTACATAGCGATTCACATAACCATCGCAATAGCCAATAGCCAATCATGGACGAATGCGTAGTGCCTCCCTTAAATTCGACCAGAATCCAAGATCATATACATTCACAACATCCTCAAGTCTCTGTACCCTTCGCCATCTTGGATCGGGAGCCGTGCCCAGCTTCCCGGGTTGGGTGATGGAAGTGCATTCCTTGTCCAGAGAGAATCCAACTCTTGGAGGACTTCCATCGCTTGTAAAAATCAGGGTGTGGTCCGTATTGATTGGCCAAGGAATATCCGGCTCCACGATGTCAGCATCCGGATGCCTTTGGGGGTATATTTCGCTTTTCTTCGCCTTGAAAACAAGTCCGTCCGCAATGTCGTCTCGCCAATCACCCCACTTTGCGCTCTCATTGGTGGTCATTCCGCTCCAGATTAAGTATAGGTGGTAAAGGAGCATAGCAAACGGAAGTGGTGCGGTGAGCACTGCCAGCAGGAAGACTGCTCCAACAACTATATCATCCGCAATCGCAAATCCCCATAATTGGAAATACATCGCCCAGTCAGTTCCTTCAGCCCAATGCTTAGCGGGCACGGTGGAGGGATAAGTTGGGACTAAGGCATCCTGTAACCTTTGATCGAGAATACCGTATCCCAAATAACTTCCGTAGGACAACAGTACAGACATTGACAAGAGGAGTGCCAAAAAAAAATGATAGTTGTTTTGACCAACACAGTTTTGCAACCAGATACAGTGATGATCATGTCTAGCAACGCATACATTGCAGATGCTGCAATGTTTACTTCGAGCAGGCTTCAATGTATGGCAAGTTCGACAGACATATCCAGGATGGAACAAGATTCGATCGTAAGGGTACGATCGCATGTGCTCCTGGAGGTTTTCCGGCGTAATGGTGGAAGTTGAAACAACGCAGGCATATAAAAGTAAATACGGCATAACAATAGCAAAAGAGACACATAACTTGTGAAAGGCTCCGATTTTTGGCCATATGGTCGGCACGAATAAAGCCTCTGATCCTACGAGCAGTGCCAAGAAAAATATCTATTCTCATATCAGTCATCCTCAAAAGGTTGAAATCATAGGATTATAGAGTTGAATAACTACATACCAATACGAAGGGATGATTTTCATGCATCAAATAATGCCCCAGACGGCTGCCCGACTGTGAGACTCGGCCTCCAAAAAGAACGCCATCGATCAGTTGGAGGAGCTTCGGGAAATATATCCAGATCACGCGATGAAAGAATCCAATGGGAGTTTTTCTAAAAAAAGGAAAGGAAAAGAAAGGAAAAGAAAAGAATTCAGCCTATAAGAACCTAAGATTTTAACATGGATAAGTATATTAAAAAAAGTAGCAAATACCTCAGGGCGGGAATTCTCCCAAACAGAGCAACGAAAGTGAAGAAGGACAGCGCAAGCACTGCGAGCCCTAGATTGCGGAGGGCTCCCATGGTTTGTGTCCTAACTCCTCAGGGGCACATCGAGAGTGCTGAAGTCAAACGGCGGCTAGCAACAGCAATTCCAGATACTTCAACGGTTGGGGGTCTGGGCCTTCAAAGGCCCATTTGGAGACCTGATTAAACCCGTTGGCTGATTCAATCAACGAACGGCAATCATTTCATGGGCTGGCTAATTATGGCTGAGGCTTCGCTCCCGAGCGATGGAAATGATTCTGGCTCGGAGTAACTTTCCGTGTTTGGACCGGATTTGATAAAGGCTGCTTTATCGCCACGTGACTTGGCGCTTCAACGTTCCAACTGCCCAACCTCTGGAGACAAGAAGAGTGAATGAAGTCAATCACTATCCATCAGCAACGGACATACTCAGCCCTTTGCGATATGAACGGGACTTCCCTCTCAGAAAGCACGTTTACGGAATGGAATGCCCTGCTGTCGCCTATTCAGATGCCTCCAACCCAAATGAAGAATCCGGTGATTTGTTCAGAGACTTGACATTTTGGTTGTCTAGGACCGTCCCATCGAGATCATGGATAAAACAGATTATTGAAGTAAGCTTGTATACAAATGTACTGCATAGCTGTGCTTAGCATGGAAATACTGACAGCTCCTAGGCCAACGGCGGGAAAGTAGTACTCTTAGAAAAGGATGCCGATGTGCTCCTTGTTGATCATCTGAAACAGGGTAACCCTGTTGGCTCGTTTGTGGACCCATTCATTTCTACATCGCTATGTTTGTTGTTCGCCTGGATAACATGTTAATAGAACCTCGTTTCAGTTTGTTGAAAAGTCCATTCAGAAAGGAAAGCTGGAGAATCTAGATGACCACCGTGCCGGCCCACCATCCGATTATATTCGCCCAGTGGGTTCCGTTACGCGGCCAAAGGGCCACAGATCTACATTTACTGCGAAAGATGACCAGATCTTATATGATTGGGTGAAACCCTTCGAGCAAAACGGTGGACAAATAGCTGGAAATAAGATATACCAGCAGCTTGCAGAAAAGGTACTTCACATCATCACACTCTTCTGTCAATTAACCACTTTGAAATATATATATAACTAAAATGGCACTTGAGTTCAGCACCCGCAGCATACTTTCCAATCATGGCGTGATCGCTATTTAAAAAGGGTTAAGGATCGGCCCAGACCTGTCACCCCGGATCGGGAACGAAGCACTGCAACAGTTGCCCGTGGGCCTGCAGGCGGAACAACGAGCGAGGGTGGCCAGCAAAGGGACGTGCTCAACACCAGAATCCCTGAGTCTGACAGCAAGAGATATGAAAGTTTTACGAGCGAGGATAAAGAAGAGCTGCTCAACCACGTGAAAGATGTTTTGAATATTGAACCGGGGAAAGAGGATGAAGCTTGGTCACTGTTTGCTGAAAATGTATGAAACTCAGAATCTGAATACGTACATTCTTTTTACGTATTTCTAACCCAGAACTTACGATAGACCGGGAAATCTGTCGAAGAATGGAAGTCGTTCTTCGATAACGTTGTTCTCCCAGAATACAACGCAAAACGATCGAAAGACAGCAAAAGACGCCGGAATGCCGCCGATATTCCTTCCGCGGCCGTGGAATCTGGCTCCTCTCAGAATTGCAAACGCAGAGCCGCCGAGTCTATCCCTCAAAAGACGATATCGCCTTCCGCTACAAACCAACAATCTAATAATCCAATAACATCAATATCACGATCACCAAACTCTCGCCAACCCCTCATTCAAAAAGCAAGCCCACAAACAGAATCCAACTCTCCATATTCTAATAAGAACGAACATTCCATGCCCAAGAACCGCTCCGTATCAGTTCCAGAAGAACCATTTGAAACGGCGCCAAAATTCCAACAGGACACAATGGAAGTCCAGTGCCGAACACCTCCCGAAGTCCTAAATCGCCGGGGAGAATTCAACGGCTCGCCAACGCCACGGCCAACGCCCGCTATCAGTGCACCTACATATCCCAATAACAACACCTCATCAGAAGACCAAGCAGCCATCCAGGAAATGGATGAATGGATCTCTTCCAAAGTCACAGGCAGCAAAGCATATAGCCAACACCAAGTCCTTGATGCACTCGCATGCACAACTATGGATCCCGATCTAGCGGAGACTGTGCTCGAGCACATGGCAGCGGGCAAAGGGATACCCAGCAATATCAGGGGGGTTTGGACTAAGGAAGACGATGAGTGGTTGGATGCGGCTGACTCGAGGTGTATTCAAACTCTAATTAAGAAGCATGGTAATGAGCTGTTCAATGCGAGGTTTGAGTATATAATGGCCCGAAGGGAGGTCGTGATGCGGAAGGGGGAGTTGGCTAAATGACAATTTGCATAGTTCACTGAAGAAGTGTAGTTTGTTATGATATGCGAGATTTGTGGTATTTGACTCCCTTGTCTGTCTTAATTCTACCTGTCATGTTTTCCCTTGTGTGGTACGATACATTCAGCAACTGTCGATGCACTTAGTGGCAGGGATGAGATATAACTCAGCCACATACGGAGCACTTTTAATTTTGTGAAGAGATCCTTCATCTTCAAATAGCTACATCGTGGGCAATATCATTCAGTCAGGATCGATAGGCACTCATCAATTAGCCCCAGGGAAATTGAATCAAACTGAGCTGCTTAATGCGCAGTTCGTCAGTGTATGCCCTGTCAAACTAAGAAAAACAATTGTCAGGAGATTAGCAGTTAGAAAAATAAAATAAAAAGGGGGGAATCGTGGATATAAGAAAAGCTCGACCACACAACAGTTATGGAAAACAGGCAAAAGTTTCTCGAATAATTCAGTTTTGTCCTACGAAGAAAGATAAAATACGAATGTTAAGAGATTTCCTGCACCAAAAAAAAGAAGAAAACAAAAAAACCAATTACCAGACCAGGGCTAAAAAACATAAAAGAACACGCTGGATTGAAAGAATGCTTTCGTGATGACAGAATCATTTATCAAAAGTGATACGACGCGGAAAGAACGCCATCCGGTTTCTGTCTTGTGGGTTAGAATAGAAAACGAAAAACTCCAGATAACATGGTAGATATACTAAAGGGAGGATGGGGAGGATGAATTTCTGCCCCTTCGCTACAAAACGTGACTCAATGTGTCCCAAGGCAGAAGGAAGAAGGAAGAAATACATGATATAACATATCCAAAGTGCGAATATTTTTTTTTTTTGCGACATGATTATAATCAAAAGGAAGAAAAAAAAAACCTAAGAAAACGGGGTGCAATGGAATTAAGCATCCTTGAAAACGCTATATCAGGGTTAGTACAGAACGATGTGGCTCGATAACTGAGCAAACGATGGGACATACAGGTGTTGTTCGTAGAATTGCAGCATCTGTGAGACGATGTCAGTTTATTAATTCATGGTCATATGATATTCGAACCACCCCCCCCCCCCAACAAGAGAAAAAAGGGGACACTGCATACCTTTTGTGGGCACTTCTCATAACATTGTTGGATCGATACTTTCGCTTTCTTGTCATTATTCCAGTTGAGGTACACAAACAGGTTGCCCGTGGGCGGATCGCGCATTATGGTATCGATAGACTTGACTTGCGTATCCCAGTTCTTCGTTTTTGGCATCCAATTCGCAGCGTTATTTTCCATCTCGGGGGTTCCATCCACCGATCGAGACTTTTTAGATCTTTTGCTGGAGGCTGTGTCGCGCGACAGTGTAGAGGACTCGGCAAGGGACTTCCGTTTCTTTGATGGCTTTTCAGGGCGTCCACCAATCTTCAAGTAGTATTCCTCCACTATTTCCGGTGTGTCTTCTCTGAACATGAGGTTAGAAGATTTGCGACTTGAGAGCGGGGTCAGTTGGAAGAAATACAGTAGATTTTTCTCTGGTTCTAGAGTCTGATCCTCCGGGTTCTCATAACCTTTCCACTTAACCAGAAGGAGCAGGGCGCCCTAAAAATTTCTCAGCTCTGAACACGACCGTATAGAGTTGGGAGGGGTTCGTATCACCGACATCTTTGGCAAACTCATGTCCCATAATCTTTTCAACGACATATCTGAAAAGACAAAAGACCCATTAGAACCCATAATTTCAGTCTTCACAATGCCATTGCTTACACGTCTTCCTCCACGTCTTCATCCTCGTCCTCATCCTCGTCCTCGTCCTCGTCCCCCCCCTCCCCCCGCTCCTCCTCCTCCTCCACCACCACCACCTCCTCCTCATCATCGCCATAACCGCCGCCGCTTTCGCCGTTTTCTTCCTCTTCCGCATCTTTTACAGGAGTAGCGTCCCTCTTCTTGGCGGTCCGTTCCTCTTCCTCACCATCATTGAAAGGGATTGACTCTCCTACAGATTCATCTTCACTATATTCAAGTGCAGCTAGAGAGAAAAATCACGATCAGCTTTAGGTTCACAGCACTCAATTCAGGATGGCGCGCTGTGGGGGCTCACGCGGCATCTTTTTCAGGTTGTCACGGCGATAAACCGGTCGACTCAGGTTAATGCGCCTGACAGGATCGGTGTCTAAAAATCGAAATGGCACGGCCAGATCAAAGCCAGCAGTAGAGACGGAAAGTAAAATAATAAACCTGTTAGTACTTCGTCAAGCTCAATGGACCTTTGGCCCCTGGATATTGATTGACCGTCGAAGAATGTCGCGAAGTTTGAGACGGTCGCGTTGGAAGAAACATCGTCCGCACTAAACCTCTTTGGGACAGGAGCTCCGGGATGTGGACTTGGATTATGTAATCTAATTTTTATTTCACCGCGTTGTTGGTAGTTAGTTATATCAAATCAAACGTACGGACTCTCAGTTTCCGGAGAACCCCGCTCCCTGTTTACTACTGATTTTTTTAGGTGAAGAAGTTTTACCGCCTAGCGGTACACCTTCAAGATGGCGATGCGTATGTTCCTACCCCTCCTTGATACTTCTAAAACATTTCTAATTTATCACCTGAGAGCAGACCTCGATATGTCCCAAGGTGAATTGCCGACCCAACCACCAAACTAGCTACCAAGACCTCCATAATTCTGACAAATTGCCCCTGACTGAGTACAGCCTCCGTTGTAAAGGATGAGCAAGGGCGCCCTTTTATCGTTGTTCGAGAGTATGTAACAACTGACTCTGGAAGTATAATTCACGCGGTGGATCAATACAATCAGGTTGTTAACGAATGATATTACAGTCAAGGAAAGAAGAAACGGCAGAGCGGGACTGAAGCGGTCAAATCACATATTCTTGCGGCAAAGACAGTCGCGAACATAGTGAAAACATCCCTGGTACGCCGGCCTACCTTCAGTTTACTGTCCTTGATTTACTTAAATATTCTAAAATAAATTCCCAGGGCCCGCGTGGACTAGATAAAATTCTCATTTCTCCCGATGGAGATATCACCGTCACAAATGACGGAGCTACCATTCTCTCCCAGGTCCATCCTCCTTCCAAACTGTGCTTCCAAACTGCACATAATAAACTCAGTTGCTAATTAACATTTGATGACAGATGGAGATATCAAACAATGTTGCCAAGCTTCTGGTTGAGCTTTCAAAATCCCAAGATGACGAAATTGGAGATGGAACAACTGGAGTTGTGGTCCTGGCAGGCGCCCTTTTAGAGCAGGCTGCAGATTTAATCGACAAGGGAATCCACCCTATAAGAATAGCTGATGGTTACGATGAAGCCTGTGAGGTTGCTGTTGCAGAGCTAGACCGCATATGTGACGAGATTAAATTCTCAAGGGATGACCGGGAAAATCTAATGAAAGTTGCTAAAACTAGTTTGGGGAGCAAGATGTATGTTCCATCCCATGCCCGTTGTCAGTACATGGGTTTTCTATTCTGACAATTTACAGAGTTTCGAAAGCACACGACCATTTCGCAGAAATGGCTGTAGACGCAGTCCTCTCCGTCGCAGATTTGGAACGAAAAGATGTCGACTTCGAACTTATTAAAGTTGATGGCAAAGTTGGCGGCTCCCTCGAGGACTCGCTCCTTGTTAAGGGTGTCATTGTTGACAAGGACTTCTCCCACCCACAAATGCCTGACGAAGTTAGGGATGCCAAACTTGCCATTCTGACGTGTGCATTTGAACCTCCCAAGCCCAAAACCAAGCATAAACTTGACATAACGAGTGTTGAGGAATTCAAGAAGTTGCAAGCATACGAGACAGATAAATTCACGGAAATGATCCAAAAACTCAAGAACACTGGTGCAAACCTTGTCATCTGCCAGTGGGGCTTTGACGACGAAGCAAACCATCTTCTTTTGCAGAACAACCTGCCTGCGGTCCGATGGGTAGGTGGACCAGAAATTGAATTAATCGCCATCGCTACCAACGGAAGGATTGTGCCTCGGTTTGAGGATCTGAGCCCAGAGAAACTAGGGACTGCCGGCATTGTACGGGAAATGAGCTTCGGAACAACCAGGGAGAAGATGCTGATAATTGAAGAGTGTGCGAACACCCGTGCTGTAACGGTCTTTCTTCGTGGCAGCAACAAGATGGTACGATAACCCTCCTCCATCCCAAAAATGTCCTGGCTTCCAGCCAAAAAGCTAGCCACTAATTCACCTACAATCCACCTCACAGATTGTCGACGAGGCCAAACGATCTTTACACGATGCTCTCTGCGTCGTGAGAAATCTTGTACGCGATAACCGTGTTGTGTACGGTGGCGGTGCCGCGGAAATTGCTTGTTCTCTTGCTGTAGAGGAAGCTGCTGTCAAGGTACGAATTTCGTATTAAACCATCTAGTTATACTTGCCAACCATTGACGGACTTCTTTGCCTCGCATCCGCTAGAACCCTGGGCTCGTCCAATATGCCATGCGTGCATTCGCAGATGCCTTAGATGCTGTCCCTATGGCCCTGGCAGAAAATTCTGGCCTCAGACCTATCGAAACTCTGGCTGCCCTCAAATCTCGCCAACTAAAGGAAAATAATTCCAACCTCGGAGTTGATTGCATGAACACGGGAAGCAACGGTAAGTTTGCCTCCCTTGCCAGAATATTGTATCCCCTAAAAAGACGGAAACTAATCAATTCACTGCTCATTAAAGACATGAAACAACATTTCGTTATCGACCCTTTAATTAGCAAACGGCAACAACTTCTCCTCGCAACTCAGCTTTGTCGTTTGGTTTTGAAAGTAAGCTACTATTCCGTTTCCACAGCTCGCCGCTGATAATCTGTCCTAATCCCCAACACTAACTCTGTTGAATGTTTAGGTCAACAATGTCATTATTGCTGGTGATGATGAACAGGAATATTAGATTATCTTACTGTTCTGCTCCTTCACCGGCTTCTGGTTCGAATGTATCCTGTGTTAAGGGTGGGGAAAAGTATTTAAGATCACGCTCAAACCGCCGTGGTGACAGTTTCGTGAAATATTTTTTGCATAATGTTGACGGTAGAACAATATAAAAATACACAGTTGAGATAGAGTAATGCAAAACTATTCTACCCCAATTCCAGCTATGCAAGCTTCTTTCTAGTTTCTCACTTTATCAACCATACAGTAGGTTCCATTGAAAGGATCGGCCCGATATCCGACCTTGGCGACAACAATCACCACACAGCAGCTATTCTCCTGATTATCAACTGGCAACAGCAGAGATATCCTTATGCTCTGCCATAAACCGCATGCCAGGTTCGATTCTACCTCTGTTGTGTTTTCATGGCTGCATCTCCATCCTTCCCTCAATATATCACGACGGCAGGCTGAATTCAGGAATTTCATACTACATTTCTGGCCCAGACGAAAGTTGAAATCAGTGACATATCCGAGATAAAATGATTGCGAATCTCCTGTCAATCAGGATCTATGTTTTCGCTACCTAGACACAACCCAGGCAATCCCGTGCATGTAATGCATAGGTGTTCGGGCACTTGCACTAGGCTACACTGCATGAAAAATGCCGCTCAAGGACATGCCCTGGGAATACGCTCTTCCTCAAATAGAATATATTGAATATAATTGCAGAGCAAAATATGCACTTAAGCCGGAATTGATACACATCCATGATCATCTTGAACGGTCGGCTAGAACTTATTCTGCCCCGAATCCCTATCGGCTCTCAACACCTCATTCTTAAAAATTGGGCAAACTTCAATTTCTCACCGCTATACTCACCAAGAAGAGGGTCTGTACGAGCAAGGACAACGCAATAGATGGGCCTGTCTTTGAATGGTTTGACCAATGTTCAAAATGTTCGAGACGTAACCTTTTTGTCTATCCATTATTGCCACTAGGCCATTGGACCCCCAATTTTCTTATTTCCAATTTTCTGGTTTCCAAAGAGGTGTAGCTAATAATGCAAATACAGTATACCGCCCCATACATACCAGAATTCATGATCATGCACAGCTGAGTATGGATCAGAGATCGACCACATGCCCTGGTCGTACTAAAGGTAATTAAATTATTGGACTATGTAGTTACAAGCTACGTAGCAATGATAATTAGTTGTTATTACTGTTCCTCACAAAATTCACCCCTTATTCTTCCACAGCAAAAGTGAAACCACCAGCCAGCCGTCGATTCATGGTAACCGTTATCTCCGTCTGAGAGGCGGCAATGAAGGTTGCCTTCGTTTCAGTTTAACGCGACCATGCCCCAAAAGGTAAAGGATTCCCTCTTCGCGATTGCATCAACGTCACGGAGATCTGTCCACAACTTCCCAGCTTCTTCAAGGCACCTGTCCAAACGGCATGGAATCCAGAACAATGGGTTCTTGGGTCCATAGCGTGGCTCAAGTAGTTGCTTTGACCCGGCGTTGGGAGCGGCACTGGCGGACTCGTTAAACAAATCCACTGCCTTCCCTTGCCAAGCGTAGATCATCGCATGAGTTATCGTTAAGACTATCAATGGTAGGGTCTGGAACCCTCAAATTCCATGATGAGGTGAATTCAGATGGCAGCTTTCGGGATTTGTATGGCGTTTCAAAGCCCGGGAAACAAATCAGGTGAGCAGCGGCGCATCCATGGAGAGGATCGCAGTTGAAAATCTTCGGCTAGCTGAATGTTGTAATCATCGATCCTGCGCCAAACCGGTGCTACCAGAGATCGCAACATGCAAGTTGTGTTTTTCGAGGATCCATTGTCAGAGCACGAGGGAGCCTTGAAGGACATGAAGGTTGGCTAAATACATGAACTTGGTGGGAGAGAAACAGGCGGATAATCTTTAACAGGACAGCCCAGAAGACTATCTGCAGACGATGATAATCAGCGTAACAACTATTTAACTAGTTAGCGCCTTTCAGCCTCTGCTGGTTAGATCGTCTCCTTTCCCAAGATCCAAGGGGTATTGAACCCCCCATATTGACAAATGGAGAGGGCAATGAGAGATCCCCCGTGTGATAGCATCCATCAAAAAGCAGCCCGGGCCCCTCCATGTGATACCTCTGCTCGATCTCTCCTGGCACTGTTGCGCTGTATCTCGGGGTTACAGCTCATCATTTGGCTA